AGACAGCTAGATGGAAAAGGCTTCAGTTGTTCTCTTGATGTAAGTGTGTTGGTGCATGATGTCATCTGGGCTTTGGGACAGGGTGGGGCATACGATTGGGCTGGTTTGGTCCGATGTATTTCAAAGGAGTGTATTTTGGCTTTTCAATCACCTCCAGCCCCAGGTAGGGCTGCAAGGCACGAGGCACACATACTGTCCCTTTCTGCAAATGGACATGTGAGTGAGATATATAGAGTAACAAAGATACATTCCATGTTATCAGTCAGAGACACTTATTTTCATGATGGGTGAATGTATTTACATTTACATTTTAGTCATTTAGCAGACGCTCTTATCCAGAGCGACTTACAGTTAGTGAGTGCATACATTTTCATACTGGCCCCCCGTGGGTATTGAACCCACAACCCTGGCGTTGCAAACGCCATGCTCTACCAACTGAGCTACACGGTAGGTATTGGGAATACAGTAGGTGTTCTCTCTTACCTTGGTCTGATGAGTCTCCAGTATGGCAATGATAGTACGGGGAATAGCACACGCTGTGACATTCACCTGGAGTAGGATGCAAATAATGGTGCTTATTATAACATTCAAACGCTTAGAAAATGGTTAAACTCTTCTTGTGGAATCTATTACAGAAATACTGAATCTCACAACATAAAGAATGTACTGGTCCCTTCCTGGTCTCACCATATGAGCGTAGTGTAGGCTACCATCCTCCCCCTCATATAGGATATTGAGGCATCTACTTTGGTAGTCTGTAAATTATTTTCAAACAAAAACAACATCCATACAGGATATGATTAACCAATCATAGTAGGGCCATCATGCCCACCTCGCCATAGCTGTCCCTCCCTGGCATCCAGGCCTCAATGTCGTACTTCCTGTGTGCTGGGCGACCTAGCTCCTGGGTCGGCATGTCCAGTACTCTAAAGGTACAGAGAATGCAGCGGTTAGAGGAACACTCTTGCTAGGGTTTAATGAGTAAAATCAATACAGTGTGGGAGTATTTGCACAAACAAGGTGTAGCTCAGCCTAAACAACTAAATATGTACAGTATATGTAAATATATGGCTATGGTGTGTACAAATGTCAAAATACACTGTACAGTGCCTCAAAGCATAAGCTATGCATCTATCCAGCCACATTGAGTGTATGCAGACAGCCAGAGAGGAACACTGACCTATAGTGGAGCTCCAGGGAAGTGAAGATCTCCTTCTGCAGGGACAGGAACTCCTCCAGCGGGAATGGCCGGCAGGGATGTAGCTCAGTTGATAGAGCATGGCGTTTGCAACGCCAGGGTTTTGGGTTCGATTCCCACAGGGGGTATGAAAAAAAAAATGTATGCACTAACTGTAAGTCGCTCTGGATAAGAGCGTCTGCTAAAATGACTAAAATGTAAAAAAAAAAAAAAAAAAAAAAGTAAAATGTCTGATAAGACCAAGCTCCTCCCCGATCTCTAGGTGTACCCTGGGTTTGAAGTCAAACACTGATGAAAAAGGTCAGGGACAACTGTATATCAAATACTGCCCTACTGTGTACGTCTATGAGATCATGAGGACAGCATGTAATTGTGTTGTTCCACCTCCTCACCTGGCTTCTGTCCAACCAGCTCCACCACTCTCGCCTGGCTCTCATCTCCAATTGGCTGAAAGAGGGCGATGGGAAGTTTGAAAATGAAACCGGAGTTCCAAACTATTGACTTTTCCAGGTATGCAAACATGTGTTCCTATAGTTAAATGTCTGTCTCTATGCATAGGTCTCTCTCAGAATGATTATCTAACAATAGATATTTGCCTCACGCGTATCAAATCGTTATTTATCACATGCGCCAAATACAACAGGTATTTGGCGCATGTGAAATGCGCCAAACCGTGAAACGCTTACTTACAAGAAATGCGCCTTACCGTGAAATGCTTACTTACAAGACCTTAACCAACAATGCAGTTAAGAAAAATATTTACTAAATATACTAAAGTAAAAAATTAAAAGAGCAACAATAAAATAACAATAATGAGGCTATAATCAGGGGGTACCGGTACCGAGTCAATGTGTGGGGGTACAGGTTAGTTGAGGTAATACATACATGTAGGTAGGGGTAAAGTGACTATGCATAGATAATAGATAATAAACCGCGAGTAGCAGCAGCATAAAAAAAATAGGGGGGGGGGGGGGTCAATGCAAATAGTCCGGACAGCCATTTGATTAGCTGTTCAGCAGTCTTATGGCTTGGGGTAGAAGCTGTTAAGAAGCCTTTTGAACTTTTTGTGTTTGTGTGTGTGTGTGTTCTCACCACATTGGGGTGTGTGGTGTTGGGCAGCCTCAGGGCTCGGCCATAGTGCTCCTCCTCCAGCTCACTCTCTCGGGGGTAAAGCTGGCTCAGCCGGTGGCGGATCTCCCGACCCTCCTTCGTAGCCTCCTTGAACTCAGGAATCTGAAGAAGATAAGGGGTTAATTACTCCACAAGGGTATTATTTCTCTTCAGCCTTATGGTTAAGTGAAAATAACATAAGGCCACAGCAGACAAGGCAGAATTTACATTAGCTAGGGCTTTCTTGTCATTCTGATCCTGTGAAGAGAAGGGAAATGTTGATCACAATAATCCCACAAAATAATATCTCATCATAACATGAAAACAATGTTTTGAAGCACAGTTATTGGTATCATTGTCAATATATCAACTGACCACAAGAGCCCTAACTCTGTGACTAATCACTTTCTTCTGCTCCTCCAGCTGTGAGATTTCCTTGCGCACTGCCTCAAGTTGCTGCCAAACACACACTTACATCAGAAACACACCTCTGACGTAGGCCTATAGAGACCAGGCAATGTGCTTGATACAAATGCAGTAGGCTACACTGCCACATCCAGGGAGGCTGTATTCATGTGCATGTACTTCAAGGCAAATGACAGACAGAGCATATGAAAGCACAGAGGCAATCTTTCTTGCACACTTCAATGACTTGATGGCCAAGAGAGCATGCAAAGTGTATGTAACTAGGCTACATCTACAGTATTCAACATGGTGTAGTGAGATGTGTTGGGTTTTATTTTTCTCATAATTGGATTTGTATGTGATGAATAGCTTGGAAGGAATGCATTGATGATTAAGCATGAAGGGTTTGTACTGGACTGATATAAATTGTTTCACCTAACAAGCTGTGATTAATGTGAGGAGCTGTTTTAGGGAGTAGGGGGAGATAAGAACTTGTGTCTCAAAGTACTAGACCTCACTGCCTCTTTGTATTCTGTGAAACTGTCCTTGAACCTGGCTACAGTGGATTTTGTGTATTCTCGGTGCTGACTCTGCAGGTTATTATCATAGCAACCATGCCTGGCAACAACTGGAGTGCCAAGGACTTGAGACCAACCCCCGCGCCAACGGATTGGCTGAAATGGAGTCTGGACCACACTCAGTCCTTTGCTCTGGTTGGCCAACAGAAGAGGTGGAAACTTTCTGTCAGAGTATTTGAGAAAGAATCTGTAAACAATAATTTTAGTTCTCTGTCGGCCCTGCGTGGTTTGTCAGTGAGCCCGTATACGAACCTTCATACTTATCATACATACATTTTGCATATAATAAATTAAGCTTGGATTGAAGATCTCTTGATTCTTATTCCAATACCAGATTTGAATTACGCAATTCACAACAATTGGTGACCCCGACGTGATCTGGTAGCGGAACTTCACTTCGCTGGAATTCACCCAGCCTATTGGACATCACTGTCATCGAACTGTGTTTCACAAATTGCCCGGGCTTCTATAAAGGTAAGCAAAACACCTATTGTAATATAACTGAAGTTTTGCACATTGGCTTTATCCAAATTAATTTTGTGAAACACCTGTTTGATGTAAGTGAACCCTATTCTACTTTAAATAACAATTACAGTATACTACTTCGATTTCATAATGTATTATGCAAATGTTTGATAATTGTGATGGTTAAACCCATGGGAAATAGAGGAGGCTGTGTGCCCAAATAGAGGAGGCTGTGTGCCCAAATAGAGGAGGCTGTGTGCCCAAATAGAGGAGGCTGTGTGCCCAAATAGAGGAGGCTGTGTGCCCAAATAGAGGAGGCTGTGTGCCCAAATAGAGGAGGCTGTGTGCCCAAACAGAGGAGGCTGTGTGCCCAAACAGAGGAGGCTGTGTGCCCAAACAGAGGAGGATGTGTGCCCAAATAGATTGTGTGTCGATTGTAAGTGTGTCATTTATGACTGTGTGACATATTTGACTGTGTGATAGGACTATGACTGTGTATTGTGAGTGAGTGTGATAACTGTATACTACGTTTAACTGTGTAATAACTGTGTACCATTTTGGCTGAGAATAAAGTTTAAATTGTGCAAACGTTAACAAAAGACACCCATAGGAGGTACTTTAAATAAATAGGCAGTGAATAGATAAATAGATTAAAATACTTTAAATAACGGCAGAATATTTGGAACACTAAAACGAAAAACAGCTCTTCAAAAGAGCCTGCTCTCACTGAAAGCTGAAGAGAGAGTTGCGAGGGGAGGGGCTGGAGACAGCGAGAGTGTGGCTTTTGAAGAGTCAAGAGAGAGAGAGAAGGGGGGTGATTTAGATTGATACAAACAATTATTGATGGGTTAGGGCTGGGGATATCTGTATTTTGTTTTATGTGTACTACCATCTTTAGATAGATAAAGTAGAGAGTATTTATATTTGTATTTTTGGTCATTGAGTTAAATTCAGTGGTCTAATAATATTACCTTTACCCATTTGCGTTTTAAACTAAAAATATTAGACCAATAACATTAAAAGCACTTTTTATACAAAATATTGGAGTCAGTAAGGTTTTAAATTACAATTAAGAATAAATAATAAAGTTCTTAAAACAAAAGTATAGATACAACAACATTGGCAAAAATGACAGATAAAGTAATTAAAGTGTTGAAATCCACCCTCGAGATAAATGGGGGAAAAGACGGGAAGGAATGGAAGAGGAGAGGAGAAAATGGATGGCAGATGGATGGATAATGGCAATGAATGGAATCCCAGGGGAAGGAGAACCGAGGACAATACTGACGGCCCTGAAGAAGAGAACAGAGAAGGCAGTAAGTGAGTGGAAAGAGGAAGGAGAGCCCCTCAAAGGGAAGTCCAAAGACACGATGGAGAAAGCCAGGTTAAAGGAGCGGATTGGTTTGGCTATGTTGGAGAAACTAAAGAAAATGTGGGAAGACAAAGCACCACCCAAGATAACAAATCGGTTGTATCCAGCCCTGCCATCGGCCCCACCACCGTATGAAAACCCTCCAAAAACAATGGCACCAGTGTTGGAACTGACTGGGCAGGTACAGTATCAGCAGAAAGACGGCGTGCTGCAGGACACATGGGTGGGTGAAGAAGAGGTGAATAGACGAAGAGGTGATATCGAACAGATGTTGAAAACTGCACGAGAACTGAAAGAACAGATTTCTCAGCTGAGTAGACTGGATAAAGAGGAAGAAGACTCAGAGAGAAGTACAGAGTACCGGGACTTGTGTCGAACCGGAGCAAGTGAGAGAGAGAATGAGGAAATAGGAGGTAGAAGCACAGCCAGTTCAACCATTTATGACAACAATGCCGAATTTAAAAAGGAACTGAAAGTACTGGAAAGGCGGGTGAGAGAAGACAGAAAGGAGCTGGCACTCACATCACTGCAAAGAACACCAGAGCCAAGGGGGGGCCATTGTATTGATTTGGGAGAAGGAGAGGAAGAGTATGAAGACGTAAAGCAGACAAAAATGCTCTATGGAGCTTTTCAAGGAGATATTTGGGATGAGGAAGGGCCTGCACAACGCACACGGGCCAAAACTCAAGGGAGAGGGGGTAACTGTGGGGGTCAGTATCCTCTGAGAGAAACAACAGTGGGAGCTTCAGTATACAAACCCTGGCCACACAGGGATGTGCAAACTCTGGTTGACAGTTTACCCCAGCCTGAAGAATCAGGACACAGGTGGGTGAAGGCTTTTGAGAGCCTTACTGCAGCAGATGAACTCACCATAGGGGATATGGTGGCAGTGATGAACAGGTGCATGGGAGATCATGAATGCAAAGAGATACTCATACAAGCAGGCCTGAGAGGAATAGTAGGAGCAGCAACTGGTTTTGATCGATACCGAACTGTCATATGGGATGCAGTTAGAAGGAAGTATCCCACTCAGGCAAGGCCAGATCTCATGAGAACACTGACGCTGAATGATGATGAAACCATACCAGCCTACATGAAGAGGGCAAAGTGCCTCTGGAGACAAGCATTGAATGAAGAGCCCACCAAAAATACAATGAGTCACCTCTTCCTTGCAAACTGCCTGGGGGGACTCCCAGACCAGGCCCGGGTAGAGTGTGAAAAGGTTGTGGCACTCACAGCAAAGTCCATCCCAGAGTTCACAGAGATAGCCCAGCATCATGTGGAGCGATGGAGGGAAGGCAAGAGGAAGGAGGAAGATGAACTGAAGCAGCTACAGAAGAAAGTTCTGAAAAAACAACTGGCTGAAGACAAAACAGGCAAACAGATGGTTGTGACCAGTACCCCGAATCCACAGGGTGTGCCAGGTATTGATCCAGCTGCAGCCGCAGCTGCTGCAGTAGTACAGGCAATGGCTGGGATGATGGCACCCCAGATGATGGCTCCTGTGGGGCCAAATGGGTATTTCTCTGTCGGGATGTACACAGAACCAGATTTACCCCAACATCCTGGCTACGTACCTCATCACAGGAGGTGTTTCAACTGTGGCAAGAACGGACACATGGCTAGAGACTGTTGGTCACAACCCTCAAACTTCAAACGACCAAGAGGACGAGGTTATGGAGGACAGCAAGAAGGGGGTGGGCCCAGATACCCAGGTCAAAGGCCAACCTGGCAAGGCGCCCAACAATTCCAACCACAACCAGCACCCCAATATCCTGGAGGGTCAAATATCCAGCCACAGCAACTACCCAACCCTGAAATGCTGCCAAGTATGTCATGGATGGGAATGCAACACCCCAACCAGGACCCCCAATGAAGCTGCCAAGAAACCCAATCTAACCACACCACCAACATCTACTCATTTCCACCAGGGTTAGAACCGGTAGTGTTATGTTTAATTGGAGGAAGCTATTTGTGGTTGTTTTTCAAATTGGGTTTTCAAATAAAAAACAACACACCTAGTATGATGTTTATAAAGCCTTGTTGTTTCAATTTTGGGGGGTTTCAGCAGGTCAAGGGTGATAGGTCTTAGAGGAGCACACAGTGAATTTTATGGAGTTTTTTAGCTTTTGGCTGAGTTTGGGGTATATATGATTTCTTATGAGAATGAATGTCATGAGGATTTAATGAACACTTGGGATAGCTAACATTTATGAAATATTTAGAATAATGGTAATGTTTAGTATACTATGGGATTAAACAGTTCGTTAAATGATTTCAATGGCCTCTGAACTCTGTTTTAACATTCTGGTGTTATTTTAATCATCCACACTAGTAAATTCTAAAGGCATGAGAGGAGGACTTTAAGATAGTTTATTTTACTAAGTTGAGGGTAATTTATAGTACAGTGAAAATTGTGAAGAAGATTATAATTTGGTAATAATATATTTGATTTGAACCATAAAATAACAGAAGAGAGAGTGGAGGAATGGCAATTGGATAATGAATTAACAATATTAACTAAAGTGATTGTTTAGATAGGTGGTAATATTGACACATGGCCAAATCATGTGTCAAAAGGGGGATGGTTGGATTAAATATTAAATATATACGAAGGAGAGGACAAAATACTTTTAAAAAAAACAAACAAAAAAACATATATGATAGTTTATTAACCACACCTGTATGTCAGAGGTTTTGTGCCCCACAGGTGAACTAAAGGAGAAGGTGACCCACTCTATCTAACCAGGAGACTGAATCAGGCCTGGCGGGAAGGGCCCTACCAAGTACTGCCTTTTTGCCAGCAGAACAGCTGAGAGATCCATCTGGGTGCATGTCACACACTGTAAAAAGGCAAAACCAGCTACACCTGACGAACAAACACAGAGTTAGGAGAAAGATCCGATAACCACAAGGGTCCGGGGGTTGGCTCCTTAACGAAGATTCCCTTACCCTGTCTGATCATCCCTGTGTGAGTTCGATAGAAGGTAAAGCAATGGGTTGGCCTCTGGCATCTGACATGTTCTCAGGGCAAGGGTGGGGATTCACAGGTCTCCCGACGGTAGGTAGCTGTCTGATTGTGGGGGCCATATTCCTAACACACACGGACCCTCCTGTTTCAGCCAGAAGTAGTAGTTAACCTAACACAAGTTGAAAAGGCATAGGAGACAGCTAGACGTAGGGAAAGGGGAAATTCTAGAGTAAACCTCTCTGAGGGAGGTAGTGAGACCGGGGCTGTGGTAAAGATAGTGCAAAACTATAGACCTGGAGGAAGTAGTACAGGTGGGAACGGGGTATAGAAATCTTAACCTGTGGTTGGAATGGATTCAGTATACGGCAAAAAACTATGTCTAAAGAGGACTGTTTTGCCTGTGGGACAGCCAAACCAGGGTTGACAACTACTCCGTTCCCCTTGACAGGCTTTGACTCTCTGTCAGGTTTATCCTCCATGCAAGCCCGATAACGGGGTCGTCCCGACCTGGGTTGCCTCAATTTGAAGTCACAGGGGATTCTAAATTGTTTTTCGAGTCTAATCTCTCCTCTTTGTTGCAGCAAGAGGATTATAGGAGCCAAAACCAGGCCCGTGCTGACATCTGATGGATGTGTGGTGATAACTGATTGTGAACTCACCTACATACGCAAACAATCAAACGTGTCAGAGACTGGTGAGTTGTCACATAGAAAGTAGGACCTCCTCCCGGGAGCCTTTGATGAAAGGATATATATATATTGATGGGATCCACAATCAGATCGCAGCTGGGTTTGAATCAAGTATTTTCTGGTGGTCAACAATTAATAAAAATGTAGATTGGATAAATTATATTTAATATAACCAGCAAAGTATTTATAAACCACACTCGTGATGCAATAAAGGGATTAGCTGAGCAGACAGCGGCAACTAGCTTAATGACATGGCAGAATAGAATAGCTTTAGATATGCTTTTGGCTGAGCAGGACAGGGTTTGTGTTCTGTTTGGATATATGTGTTGTACTTTCATCTCCAACAATATAGCACCGGACGGGCCCGTGACCAAAGCGCTTGAGTGACCATCACCACGCTGGCGAACGAACTGGTTGAGAACTCTGGTATTGATAGCTCCATAAACGATTGGTTTGATAACATATTTGGTAAATGGAAAACTATTGTTGTGACTATTCTGGGTGAAGTTATAGCTTCTATGGGTATACTTGTTCTTTGTGGATGTTGTCTTATTTCCTGGCTGAGTGACTGGTTTGGTGAGTACTCTTCTATGGTGGTTACTGGATTTCTGACCCTAGTAATTGTGTTTTTGCTGTTAATGTGTTGTGCTGCTTGCATCGTCCCCTGTCTCAGGAGGTCAGTGGTAGGAGCGGTGCAGGCGTCGGGTATGATGGTGTTGTTACCGGCCCAGGATGATGCAGGTGACTCTGCTACTGACTCTGAGACCAAGCTGGATGATCCATGGTTTGCCTAGTAAAATACATACACGCATTTATTTTCAGTTCTTGCTCATTTATTACCTTATGTTTTTACTAACCACTGTGATTGTTTATTCTTCCTGATGTGAAGGTAAAGGATTCCTGGGTGGCTGGTAGCCAACTCAGTACATGTTAGGTGTAGGGGAGGAATAGAGGGTTAAAATTATTATTTTTTATTTTTTATTAACATTAAATGTTGTGATTTAATTTCCATATCCTGTTATTCTTAAGGGTGATTATACTCTGTTTAGAGTGACACCATAAATGGTGTCAAAAGAGGGAATTCAAAAATTTCCCTTTAAAAATCTTTAATCACACCCTAGAGTTTTAATAATCTTGTGTTTTGTGTTCTATTAATCCTGTGTTTTATGCTTTATTAATCAAGTTAGCCATGTGAATGTTTGTCTTTCCTTATGTGATGGTTTGAACTTCTTTGATGACTGGTAACAGTTTGCAAGTTGGGTGTCGATGGAAGGACTGAAGGACTTTTATTATCAAATTGTCTATTAATAAAAGTGTTTATTTTTGTTTGTATTGTATTTTAATGAGTGACACCCTAGAGGGTGTCAAAAGAGGGAATTGTTGGGTTTTATTTTTCTCATAATTGGATTTGTATGTGATGAATAGCTTGGAAGGAATGCATTGATGATTAAGCATGAAGGGTTTGTACTGGACTGATATAAATTGTTTCACTTAACAAGCTGTGATTAATGTGAGGAGCTGTTTTAGGGAGTAGGGGGAGATAAGAACTTGTGTCTCAAAGTACTAGACCTCACTGCCTCTTTGTATTCTGTGAAACTGTCCTTGAACCTGGCTACAGTGGATTTTGTGTATTCTCGGTGCTGACTCTGCAGGTTATTATCATAGCAACCATGCCTGGCAACAACTGGAGTGCCAAGGAGTTGAGACCAACCCCCGCGCCAACGGATTGGCTGAAATGGAGTCTGGACCACACTCAGTCCTTTGCTCTGGTTGGCCAACAGAAGAGGTGGAAACTTTCTGTCAGAGTATTTGAGAAAGAATCTGTAAACAATAATTTTAGTTCTCTGTCGGCCCTGCGTGGTTTGTCAGTGAGCCCGTATACGAACCTTCATACTTATCATACATACATTTTGCATATAATAAATTAAGCTTGGATTGAAGATCTCTTGATTCTTATTCCAATACCAGATTTGAATTACGCAATTCACAACAGATGGGATATACAGAAAAGCTTACAATCTCCCTGAAATCTGCTCCCCGCAGATCCCCTTTCCGAGTCTCCACATTGGCAATGACTTTGTCAGTCTCCTCGCACACAAGTCGCATGTCCAAGTCTGGCTTGTCACTGTAGCCCTCGCGGACATGTTCGTAAAGACTACTTCGCAACTCATGTGTGGAGCGGCTGGGGGTAAATACTTTCGTTCCCTGTCATGTAAAGTGTCTTGAAACCGGTTTTAAGACATTCAATGTGCCAAGCCGGGCAACCATGCAAATGCAAGTCGCCATGTTTCATTGCGGAAGGAGGCTGGTAAATAGAGGCGGAACCAAATAAAACAACCAATGAAATGACGGGACCTTAAAATTATATAAACAACATTTGTAACAAATGACTGTGTGTTTAGAAAGTAGAAAACATTAAATATCGCTTAAATTCGCTGTAGTTATAAAATAAGGGCCACGAGTGAGTCCAAAACATAACGTCACATCCGTGCACCGGTTCAAAGGCTAGCCAATGAGACTAGCGGAACTATTGCATTGCGGTAATGCGGTTCGGACAGGGGGAAAAGTGAATTGTGCGGCCGACAATAGTCGGGCATGTCTCTAGGGCGATAAAACCAGTATTTTGTCTTTTTAACATCCGTAATGCGTTTGGGATGTTTGTATTTTATGCCATGATTGACTAATTCCCAGGATAAGACAGAAAGGGGTGCTTTAACGGATGTTTTTTAAGAGAACTGCATTCAGCAGTTGCTAACTAACGTTAGCCGCGCCGGGCGGTCTGTTGTTATAGCCTGCATGGTGGTTCTGAGAACCATGAGCCGTGCTTCACCTCACACTGGAGGCCGTACTCACTCAGACCAGGATAGGCAAGGCGGATCGGAGGGTGGGACACACGGATGGCAACTGTCGGCGTCCCTTCTTGACTGACTACAGACAATCGGGCCCAAAGGTGAAGCTACTAACTGTCTGGCCCCTGGTGACATCCACTCAATCAGAGCCCAGGACAGGACCACCAAGTAGGGTAGTCTCCCTTTAATCAAGGTAAAGTCAACAACATTGTTGTCATTTTGTGTCACTATTCCTGAATGTACCCTGTTGATTTTCTCAATAAAAGCGAGGACTAGGGAATGGTGCGTTTGAGAGCTTTGCAAGACATTAATTCATTCAGCCTGTAGCTTAGAGCTGGATACTATTCATAAAGGGCTTTGAAGTTGAGCTTGACCATGACTCTCTAATTACTCTTAATTAGATTACTAAGATCTATCTACATCAAATCATAATTATAACTGGCCACCAGCTTGTGTATCTGGCTCCTTGACAGAAATAACGTTTTTTGTTGTTAAAGGTTCTTGATATTCCTGTGTATATTATGTCAACGCTTGACTATCTTCAGATGAGTGCAGTCCGTGGAGGAACGATCACCTGGCGGCCACAGCCCTGGCAGGACGGCGACGGTGGGGGCGGGGAGCCCCTCTCGGACAGCGACTCCGAAGAAGAGGACTTTCCCGATGACAGCACCACTCCTTTAGGAGACTACGTCACACATGGTATGGTGGAATGGGAACGTACAAATTAATGCATCAGTCATGTGCTGCCTATATCATATAAGTCTCTTTCTATCTCTCTGTACCTTTTTCTATCTCCTCACTCTTTACTACTTCTCTCCCTAAGGGTTGAAGCTGCTACTGGACGCTCAGCAGCTGTGTGACGTCACACTGTTAGTGGAGGGGAAGAGGTTTATGTGTCACAGGTGGGTTCAATGACCTTGTACCAATTCTAGTGTACTACAGACATCCAAACAGTGCATGTTGCTACACACAAAGGAATATGTTACACATACTCAGATGCCTACTGCCATTTCAGTACTCCAGTCTCCTGCAGTTCATTGTAGTCACACCCTATCTCACCCTTATGTGAATGACGTCGTGCTTCTGCCTCTCTTCAGAGTCCTCTTGGCAGCAGTCAGCCCGTATTTCCGTGCCATGTTCACTAGCCCGTTGGTGGAGTCCCGCCTCACTGAGATCCGATTGGAGGAGGTGACGCCATCAGTCATGGAGACTGTCATCCAGTTCGTCTACACTGGGGAGGCGGGGCTCTGCCTGGACACGGCCGAGGACCTGTTTGTGGCGGCCAATCGGCTTCAAGTGATGCCCCTGCAGGACCTGTGCTCCAGGTAACTATATAGTCAGTGCTGCCTGACATAGATACGATGTCATTTGCCCGGTCCAGAATGCTGCTGATACTCCTAAGCCTGTGCAGTTCAGTAACTGCCACAAATAGTTTTGATAGCATTTTTAAAAGACAGCTTTTAAAAATGGTCCGGTTTTCCATCCTCAAACATCTGTGTGTGTTCGTAGGTTCCTGTTTGAACACCTGTCTGTGGATAATTGCCTGGGCATGTACTCTCTGGCCCGCTCCCACCACGACCAGCTGCTCCTGAGGGCCTCTCTGAGACTGGTGGCCCAGCACTTCCCCCGCGTGGCCCGCCAGAAGGACTTCCTGCTGCTGGACCCTGGCACCCTGGGCAGCCTGCTGGGCTCCGACCGCCTGGGCGTAGACTCTGAAGCAGAGGTGTATGACGCGGCGCGCCGCTGGGCCGAGCACCAGCCCGTGGAACGCTACAGCCACATGCCGGCCCTGCTCCACCACCTCCGCCCCGGCCTGCTGTCCCTGGAGGAGAGCCGGCGGCTGAGCCAGGAGCTGGGCCCTGCTGCAGCTGGAGAGGGCGGCCCGCTGAGGCCCCGGGAAGGCATGTTCGAGAAGAAGATAGTGTGTGTGGACCTGAAGCCGCGGGAGGACGAGTCGCTAAACGAGAGGGACTTCACTGTGGACTGCTTCGACCCGCGCACAGGGAAATGGGAGAAGCTGGCTGCCCTGGGCTCTCTACTGTGCCCAGGTTGCACGGCCATCGGGGGTCGGCTGTTCGTAGCGGGGGGCATCCTGCGGGGCGGCACGGTGTCCACGGAGGTCCATGAGTATGACTCTGTGTTGGATCGCTGGCTGGAGCGGTCGCCCATGGTGTCACCCCGGGCCATGCTGGGTCTGCTGGGCTGTGGGGAGTCACTCTACGCCCTGGGGGGCTGCAACAGAGGAGCCATGCTGGACTCCTGTGAGATCCTGGACCTGGCCTCTCTCCAGTGGGGCCCGGGGCCCCGTTTGCCCCTGCCGCTGCGCTCCTTTGCCTGTGCCACCCTGCGTGGCCGCATCTACCTTCTGGGCGGCACCACACTGGAGCAGAACCGGGCGGTGGTGCACGCTGGCGTGCTCATCTACCACACCCTGACTGACTCGTGGACCCGCGTGGGACTGGACTCTGGCGCCACCTGCCTGGCCGGAGGGGTGGCGGTGCGGGGAGGAGTCTGTGCCATCGGCGGCTACATGAGGGATGCCACAAAGTTTATAGATGGGAACTACACCCATCTGGAACCTCTGGAAGCCACGGGGCGAGTGCTTTTCTTCAGGGAGGGCCGGGGCTCAGGGGTGGAGCGGGAGGTGACTGGGGCAGTGGTGGCTGAGAGGGGCGGGGGTGGGGGCGGGGGGAGCGACCGAGCCCCCAGTCCGGTGGTTTTCCCGGGGCTGCCCAGGCGGATCGCTGCCGGGGGCGTGGCCAGGTGGAAACGCAGGATATACGTGCTGGGCGGGGAGAACGGCTCCCGTTTCTATGACAGTGTGTACTGTTGGAAGCCTGGCTGGCGCAGCTGGGTCCAGAGACGGGAGAAACTACCCGGAGACACAGGGGGAGTCAGCCAGTTCGGCTGTACCACCCTTAAGTTCCCCAAGAAACACATCCTGTCCCGGCTGAGACTGGCTCGGGAGGATCGCAAGCCTGATGACGACTAATGAGCTGTGGCTAAGACCAGCATTCATGGGGTTTCAATAATGAAATGAAATGTAATCAACTTTTAACACTTGACAGTGGGGGGGAAGGGGACTCTCATCTGAATGTAACCACCGTATGCCACAACAATGCTCAAGTCTGTTAGGTTTAAACCCCCAACATTTATAAGAATAACCTGCACAAGAAAAGACACAGAGAATTTAGTATATTTTACTTGCAAGGAGAGTGCTCGGAGACTGCTCAGTTACAATCCTCCAAAACCACTCTGAATCAGTCTCCGCTCCTGATTGCATAAACAGATCCAGTTGAAACCAGTTCACATATTCCATTATCTGAGTGTGACTTCTTCTATCTTGGCACACTGTCCGAGCGTGCCCACATTCTGAGATTAGTTGTTTTTCTAACTCATGCAGCTGGTTCCTCCTCGCTGAACGCGACCTTGACTGCTAATCTTCCTCACATTCACTCGTCCTGTAATCATACTCACACAAGCACACATTATGAAAACAACAATTCAGTACTTAAATGGCATAATGAAATATAGTAAATGAGTAGAATAACTTATGTACAATTTCTCCAACAAAGTCCTTCACAAAATTGATTTAAAATGGTTTGAAACTGGTCTGCCTGTTGAACACACATCCTCAGCCTTTGCCACCTTATAGGAATTTAACAGCTGCATAGGCCTATGTTGTGAATGACTGGCTGTGAATGTTTGGCAGGGTTTAAATTTGTTTATTGAAATTTGAAGACTTTTGTTTTTAAAATTTATCTCTGCCTTTTCTATCCCAAACTTTCTGAAATTCACCAAATGATCCAAGGCCATGTTCATTAGGCACCAAACGGAAGAAAATTAACTGAAACATGGAAGGACTACCTACCTACATTCATTTTCGTTTTCCTTTGCAACATGACCTAGATTTCAGTCACTTGTTATTTTTGGTCAGTTTCTCTTCATCGCTATTCCTCCTAACGCTTATCCTCCTCCAATCAAATAGTGTTATCATCAAAGGAGATAGCATGGTTTCGTAATCACTATAGCACCCAAGTCTCCACACTCAAACAACTGTGTAATCTGTGCCAGTCTTGTAAAGATTAAGGTCTCAATACAATTCCATTTAGAAAATTCTGTTTTATTTTGGCTCAGAATACAGACTACGTAATTCGATTTAATTTCCAGATGCATTGGTTACTTACTTACCACAAGACCAAGAGCAGGCAGATCCCGCAGAATACCTGACACATGACTATTTGGTTTTTAGACAGACAAGTTTATTTTGAATTTTAGTTGAACACGCCCCTTTGCGCCACAGAGCTATGTGAAGATATTCTGAGTGCAAATGTGTATGTGTGTTGGGGCGTGAATGTTGGATTATGGTATGTAACAACAGGGGAGCCCCCCCCCCCCATCCTTCACACCCCTTAAGAGAAACATGATGTAATCTGATTTATGTTTTTGAACTGAAAGACAAATTGATAATTTGATGACAGTTATGCTATCAAATGATTAAAGGAATATTTGTTTAAGAAAGATTTTTGGGATTATTCTCCTGTTTAGTATTTCTCTGGGCAATGACAACTGGTCCTTCTGTCATTTTCTGTATGTTACTATAAGATAATAAATGATTAACCAGTTTCACATTTAGAATGGACGGTCTCGTAGTCACTCATGCACAAATCTCGTAGTCTTCCTCAACACATTTCCAGCAGGGTCTTTGTAGTGGTGGGGGTGATTCCATTGGTCAGAGACCGATATGACAGCGGATGTGGTCTTTGTTCGTGCTTTAGGCACATTTTGGGTCACGGTAAACCAAATGTTAACACCTGTAACATTAAGTAAGTTACCGATATAACAATTTGCACATGGAAGAGAAAATCAAGTTTGTTTGACATGTTACGATAGAAGGTTGGACTGGACTAATGAACTAAACTGTGTGTGTAAGTGAACATTGAAGAGGCTAGGTGTTAATTATTACTGTCATTAATAAACTCCTGAATCAGCCTTTTTTCTGGCGACCAAAGGTCTTACTGACCAACCACTCTGACCATTCTGTCCTCTCCTTCACTTGGCCTTTCTCTTATCGGCCGTTAGAAAGTGAGTGAGCCCTCTATTTAAAAGACACTTGTATTATCATTATCCTTTGCTCCACGTCTTGGACTGATATCCTTTGGTTTGATATTATTAGGCCTGTTGACGCCTTCCTTCATTTTTGTTGAGAAATGGAGAATCCCTCGTCTGAGACCACACCGGAGAAGGGGACCATTAATAATCTAGCTGATATCTTTGTCATCATCGGCTACTTCATTCTGGTCATTGGAGTGGGCGTCTGGGTTAGTAGTACACCTATCTGTATATCTGTCTACAGTTCTGTAGCCTACATAGTTTTGAATCAACATAGTTTTATGTTATACATGATTCCGTGTATAATTTATCATAATGATGTCATGTCAAACTGGGTATTTGTACAGATCATATAACACTTATTGACATGTACAATACAGTAGGGTAGGCATATGTCATGAGGTAAACTACTGCTTAGGGCTTACATCCAGTGAATGTCCTGTCTTCCAGTCTATGTTTCGGACCAACCGTGGCACTGTGGGAGGCTACTTTTTGGCAGGACGGACTATGACATGGTGGCCAGTGAGTTCAACTTGATCTTTAACCCCTGTGACAACTCTTTGTATTTTAACTAACCCTTTGGGTCTCTGCTTCCACTAGTTTTGGCTTCCATTCACCTTTCCTGTCTTGCCCAGTCCCATTGTATACATTACAGCCTGAATGTGTGTTAAAGGACATTATAAACTGGGTAGTTCGAGCCCTGAATGCTGATTGGCTGACAGCCGTGGTATATCAGAACGTATACCACGGGTATGACAAAACATTATTTTTTTATCCTCTAATTACGTTGGTAACCAGTTTATAATAGCAATAAGGCACCTCGGGGGTTTGTGGTATATGGCCAATATACCACAGCTAAGGGCTGTATCCAGGCACTCCGCGTTGCGTCGTGCGTAAGAACAGCCCTTAGCCATGGTATATTGGCCATATACCACACCCCCTCGTGCCTTATTGCTTAAATACCACTCAAAAACAATATTTTGGTATTTGTTTAATTAGTCCACTGTTGATACAGTCCCAAAATGTTTTGCATGTCAACAGTCAAGCTTTCAAGATATAGGATTTTCAAGAAGCAAAGTGTCACTTGCCACATCATCTAGATGATGTGTTTTTCCTTTAACAGTTCTCCCCTCTCTCTCTCTCTCTATAGGTTGGAGCATCACTGTTTGCCAGTAATATTGGTAGTGGTCACTTTGTGGGCCTTGCTGGTACCGGAGCGGCCAGTGGAATTGCTGTGGGGGGATTTGAGTGGAATGTAAGTATAATTTGCCCCCTTAAAATAAGTTATGACATATTTCGAGTACAATACTTTGTAATATGTGCTGATCAGGAAATTGAGATTCTTCTGACATTGGAGCCCTCTTTCTCTACCCAGGCCTTGTTTATCGTACTCCTATTGGGCTGGCTGTTTGTCCCCGTCTACCTCACAGCAGGGGTAAATTACACAAGACCATTATATGCCAGCTAACATGACATACTGGAGAGTTTTGTGTCCATTTGTCTGTAATTTCTTCATTTCCCGTTGCTTAGGTAATTACAATGCCTCAGTACCTGAAGAAGAGGTTTGGGGGAACCAGGATCAGTCTGTACCTCTCTGTCATTTCTCTGTTCCTCTACATCTTCACCAAGATCTCTGTGAGTCTAGGACAGGGCTCCCCAACCCTGTTCCTGGAGAGCTACCGTCCTGTAGGTTTTCGCTCCAACCTTAATCTAGCGCACCTGATTCTAATTATGAGTTGGTTAATAAGATGAATCAGGTTAGTTACAACTGGAGTTGGAGCGAAAACCCACAGGAACAGGGTTGGAGAGCCCTGGTCTAGGACAAAACTATGGGGCACTGTTTGTAACATGCTATAAAGTCCTTTATCATTACATTTTCTTCAATATTGATAGAATCTGTGGTATTGCTAAGACTCCTGAGTTCTGTACGTTTTATTGAGGTATTAACATACCCGTGGACCAGTCTGACTGTCATCTCTCTCTCCAGGTGGACATGTTCTCCGGGGCTGTGTTCATACAGCAGGCTCTAGGCTGGAACATATATGTGGCTGTGATAGCCCTGCTCTCCATCACAGCTCTGTACACAGTCACAGGTAACATCTGTTTGATCAAATTAGACACAATTACTTGTTGTAGAAAAGGCTGTCCATGATTAAAGAGAGGTCATGTTTGCAAAAGATGACCCATAGGCAAAAACAGGGGCTCAGGCATTTGGTCTGTTACCCTCAACCCAAAGAGAGTGTAGGGTCATCTAGAGGTGAATAGATAATCATTGTATGTGTGTATCCTAGAGCAGTGTTTCCCAACTCCAGTTCTCCCAACAGTACATATTATTGTTGTGGCCCCCGACAAGCACACCTGATTCTACTTGTCAACGAATCATCAAACCCTTGACAAGTTGAATCAGGTGTTTTTGTCCAAGGCTACAACAAGAGTTTGGAAAACCCTGTCCTAGATAACTTCAGTAGTTTGTTCATCAACTGGGTTATTGTTGCCTAGTCACCTTACCCCTATACCTCTATCACTCCAGTATCCCTGCACATGGAAATATGGTATTGGAACTGACTTTTTAAAAATATTTCCTGTATATAGTATACTTACTTTATTGTATATTTCATATTCTTATTTCTCGTGTGCTTTTTTCTAATAATACATTGTTATTGATTATTGCATTGTTGGGTTTTGAGTTTGCAAGAAAGGCATTTCACTGTATTGACATTAAAACTTGAAACATATTAATCTGTAATGATCTGTTTTGCTCAATAGGGGGCCTAGCTGCTCTGATGTACACAGACACAGTCCAGACATTTGTCATCATCGCTGGCGCCTTCTGCCTCACAGGTTTCGGTAAGTTCAGAGTCCTGTGTCCATTGTGCCACACATTCCATCTTGTTGACTCCACTTGTTACTCAACGCATGACTGAGTAACAAGAAATATAGACGTTTCTTTATTGGTGCTTAAATGACCTTTTACCTACTGTACTTTTTGTTTATGCATACATGTGTATAGATGACGTAATATACAGTGCATTCGGAAAGTATTCACATCCCTTTACTTTTTCCACATTTTGTTACGTTACAGCCTTATTCTAAAATGGATTAAATAGTTTTTTTCCCTCATCAATCTGCACACAATACTTCATAATGACATAGCAAAAACAGGTTTTTAGAAATGTTTGCAAATAAAAAATACTGAAATATTACATTTACAAAAGTATTCAGACCCTTTACTCAGTACTTTGTTGAAGCACCTTTGGCAGCGATTACAGTTTTGTGTCTACTTGGGTATGACGCTACAAGCTTGGCACACCTGTATTTGGGGAGTTTCTCCCATTCTTCTCTGCAGATCCTCTCAATCGCTGTCAGGTTGGATGGGGAGCGTCGCTGCACAGCTATTTTCAGGACTCTCCAGAGATGTTTGATCGGGTTCAAGTCCGGGCTCTGGCTGGGCCACTCAAGGACATTCAGAGACTTGTCCCGAAGCCACTCCTGCGTTGTCTTGGCTGTGTGCTTAGGGTCATTGTCCTGTTGGAAGGTGAACCTTCGCCCCAGTCTAAGGTCCTGAGCGCTCTGGAGCAGGTTTTCATCAAGGATCTCTCTGTACTTTGCTCTGTTCATCTTTCCCTCGATCCTGACTAGTCTCCCAGTCCCTGCTGCTGAAAAACATCCCTACAGCATGATGCTGACACCACCATGCTTCACCGTAGGGATGGTGCCAGGTTTCCTCCAGACGTGATGCTTGGCATTCAAGCCAAAGAGTTCAATCTTGGTTTCATCAGACCAGAGAATCTTGTTTCTCATGTTCTGAGAGTCCTTTAGATGCCCTTTTGGCAAACTCCAAGCAGGTTGTCATGTCTGGCCACTCTACCATAAAGGCCTGATTGGTGGAGTGCTGCAGAGATGGTTGTCCTTTGGGAAGGTTTTTCCATCTCCACAGAGGAACTCTGGAACTCTGTCAGAGTGACCATCGGGTTCTTGGTCACCTCCCTGACCAAGGCCTTTCTCCTCCGATTGCTCAGTTTGGCCGGGCGGCCAGCTCTAGGAAGAGCTTGGTGGTTCCAAACTTCTTCCATTTAAGAATGATGGAGGCCACTGTGTTCTTGGGGACCTTCAATGCTGAAGAAATGTTTTGGTACCCTTCCCCAGATCTGTGCCTCGACACAATCCTTTCTCGGAGCTCTATGGACAATTCCTTCGACCTCATGGCTTGGTTTTTGCTCTGACATGCACTATCAACTGTGGGACCTTATATAGACAGGTGTGTGCCTTTCCAAATCATGTCCAATCAATTGAATTTACCACAGGTGGACTCCTATCAAGTTGTAGAAACATCTCAAGGATGATCAATGGAAACAGGATGCACCTGAGCTCAATTTCGAGTCTCATAGCAAAGGGTCTGAATACTTATGTAAATAAGGTATTTCTGTTTTTTATTTGTAATACATTTGCAAAAATATCTAATAACTTGTTTTCGCTTTGTCATTATGGGGTATTGTGTGTAGATTGATGATGAAAATGTTTTATTTAATCAATTTTAGAATATGGCTGTAACGTAACAAAATGTGGAAAAAGAGGAGGAGTCTGAATACTTTCCGAATGCACTGTATAATAACTGATACCGATGATGTCATGTATTATAGATACTGTACCTGCAAATGAAATACTGTACCATGTTTTTCCTATGACTGCATTTAGTGTCTCAAAACTCTATTTGAGTGGTCCACAATGTAACTTTTAAAATGTGTATTTTGTATTGTCAACTATTGTATCATTGTGGAGTGACACTTTAATACATTTGTCTAACTCATGACTCAACTGGTCATGTTGAATTAGCTGCTGTGTCCAGTGGATCTTCCTCACTCTCTCCCTCCTTCATCCAACCTCCCACTCTCATCCACCACCACCTTTAGTAAACCACTTCCTTGATCCGGCCTCACTATAGACCCACTATAGATCCCCCAGTCCTCTGCTCCATATGTGACATTGTGTACGTGTCCCTCTTCCTTTCTCTTCCTGTCCTCAGCCTTCTTTGAGGTGGGGGGCTACAACGCTCTGCTGGAGAAGTACAGGTTAGCACTGCCCTCCAAGAACCAGTCCCTGGAGCCCCAGCGCTACAACATATCCCCCCAGTGCTTCACCCCCCGAGACGACGCCTTCCAGCTGCTCAGGGACCCCGTGACTGGGGACCTGCCCTGGCCGGGGGTCCTCTTTGGCATCGCCATCGTGGGCGGCTGGTATTGGTGCACCGACCAGGTAAATAAGCTCATAGGAACACAGTGGATGGAATTCATATGTGGGTTTATTTCATAGTGCATTTACTGTAGATGACCCATTCAAAACGGCACATTGCTGACTGAATCTAATTTGTCTGCTCTGGTCATTCTGTTGCTATGATGAGAGATACTTAAATTAGATGGATGTGGAGCAACATGGATCAGATGGGAAGATTGAATCGTTGGTTGAGTTGATCTAGTATCTTCCCCCATGTCTGTGTGTATAGGTGATCGTGCAGCGCTGCCTAGCGGCCCGCAGTCTGACCCATGTGAAGGCGGGCTGCATCATGTGTGGATACCTGAAACTGCTCCCCATGTTCCTTATGGTGTTCCCCGGAATGATCAGCCGCGTACTCTTCCCAGGTGAGTTCCCAAATATGCCATCATAGGATTGACACAGAGTTGAGTGGAGAATTTGATATTTTAGGTTCATCAACAGGGAAACAAGCACACAGCAAAACAACTAAATTAAAGACAGTTTGTTACACTTTCTCTTTTACCCTGAAGATGTATGAGTGTGTGTGTGTGTGTGTAGTGTTCCCTCTCTATTCCTCCTGTCATTATGGGCTCCATGGTTACAGAGCCTGTCTTCTCTCTGACAGATGAGGTGGGTTGTGTGGTGCCAGAAGTGTGTCAGCAGGTGTGTGGGACGGAGGTGGGCTGCTCCAACATTGCCTACCCCAAACTGGTGGTCTCTGTCATGCCAAATGGTGAGAAGTCTCTCTCCTCTGCTGAACTAGTTGCTCAGATCTGGGTGGAACGGTTACTGTATTATGATTTTTTTTACACACAATCTACTGCGTGCAGATGGCTACCATGGTTTTATCTCTCCCATCATCTTACCTTGGTCTTCCTCCCCCCTCCTCTCCCTCTCCCCACTCCTCTCTCCCAGGTCTGAGGGGCCTGATGCTGGCGGTCATGCTGGCGGCCCTGATGAGCTCCCTGGCTTCCATCTTCAACAGCAGCAGTACCCTGTTCACCATGGACATCTGGACCCGCCTCAGACCACAGGCCAGAGAGAGCGAGCTCATGGTCGTTGGCAGGTCTGCACCTGCTTTCACTTGGTTTACATAGAAAAACTTGGTTTAGGTAGAAATGTTCAGCTGTCCCAGACCATTTGCTGGAGTAGGTCAATATAATGTATGATCCTATAAAATGGCTGCCTCTCACTTACTCCGTCTCTCCCTCTCAGAGTGTGGGTCCTTGTCATCGTAGCCGTCAGTATCTGTTGGATCCCTGTGGTCCAGGCAGCCCAGAGCGGTCAGCTGTTTGACTACATCCAATCAGTGACCAGCTACCTGGCCCCGCCCATCGCCTCAGTCTTCTTCCTGGCTGTGTTTGTGAAGAGGGTCAATGAGCAGGTGAGGTCAGAGGGTGTGTTGTGTTCTAGTTACATTGTTGTGAGAGGACATAGTTGAGAGAGGACATACGGAAAGCATTGGCGATGTAACCTATGAATGTGAGAGACATCTGGGCCCGTATTCACAAGGCATCTCAAGGTAGGACTGCCGATCTAGGATCAGGCCCCCCTGTTCATATAACCTTATTCATTATGATCTAAAATGCAAAACTGATTCTAGATCAGCACTCCTACTCTGAGACTCTTTGTGAATACAGGCCCAGACATATACCACTGGATGAACTTTTCCTTCTTTGTTTACTTTGGTACTAAATTGACATTTCTTTCAGGGGGCGTTTTGGGGCCTGATGGGGGGCCTAGCTATGGGGCTATGCCGTATGGGGCCAGAGTTTTGGTTTGGCTCAGGCAGCTGCCTGTTCCCCTCAGACTGCCCCACTCTGGTGTGTGGGGTCCATTACCTCTACTTCGCTGTGCTCCTCTTCTTCTGCACCTCCATCCTGGTGCTGCTTGTCAGCTACTGTTCACCAGCCATAGAAGACAAACATGTGAGTGCTCATAGGCAGAATGGACAGTGTGCCTCAGTCTGTTTTATCAAATGCCTGCATCCATTAGATATTATTAATGCAGGGGAATCTTACCCACTATAATGAGAACTTACTATAAACTCAGAGATCAATAAACCTATGGTGGTATGCATCTCCCCATCTAATGCTCTGAGTGATTTCTGATAGAACTGAACTTCTCTTCTCCTAGCTCCACCGTCTTGTGTTCAGCCTCCGCCACTCCAAGGAAGAGAGGGATGACCTTGATTGGAAGCAGGAAGTGAAGGGGAGGATCGCACGCAGGGAGGCAGAGGAGAAAAGCAGAGACAAGTCTGAGGACAGCCCAGGTATGAGAAAAACATACAGTACCAGTCAAGGGTTTCTCTTAATTTTTTACTATTTTCTACATTGTAGAATAATAGTGAAGACATCAAAACTATGAAATAACACATATGGAATCATGTAGTAACCAAAAGTGTTAAACAAATCAAAATATATTTTATGAGGTTCTTCAAAGTAGCCACCCTTTACCTTGACAGCTTTGCACACTCTTGGCATTCTCTCAACCAGCTTCATGAGGTAGTCACCTGGAATGCATTTCAATTAACAGGTGTGCCTTGTTAAAAGTTAATTTGTGGAATTTATTTCCTTCTTAATGCGTTTGAGCCAATCAGTTGTGTTGTGACAAGGTAGAGGTGGTATACAGAAGATAGCCCTATTTGGTAAAAGAACAAGTCCATATTATGGCAAGAACAGCTCAAATAAGCAAAGAGAAATGACAGTCCATCACTACTTTAAGACATGAAGGTCAGTCAATCTGGAAAATTCAAGAACTTTGATGGTTTTTGCACTGCACTTGAAGAAGCTATCAAGCGCTATGATGAAACTGGCTCTCATGAGGACCGCCACAGGAAAGGAAGACCCAGAGTTACCTCTGCTGCAGAGGATAAGTTAGAGTTAACTGCACCTCAGGTTGCAGCCCAAATAAATGCTTCACAGAGTTCAAGTAACAGACACATCTCAACATCAACTGTTCAGAGGAGACTGCGTGAATCAGGCCTTCATGGTCAAATTGCTGCAAAGAAACCACTACTAAAGGACACCATTAAGAAGAAGAGACTTGCTTGGGCCAAGAAACAAGAGCAATGGACATTAGACCGGTGGAAAAATGTCCATTGGTCTGAGTCCAAATTGGAGATTTTTGTTCCAACCGCCGTGTCTTTGTGAGACGCAGAGTAGGTGAACGGATGATCTCCTGTGTGGTTCCCACCGTGAAACATGGAGGAGGTGTGATGGTGCTTTGCTGGTGACACTCTGTGATTTATTTAGAATTCAAGGCACACTTAACCAGCATGGCTACCACAGCATTCTACAGCGATACGCCATCCCATCTGGTTTGCGCTTAGTGGGACTATCATTTGTTTTTCAACAGGACAACGACCCAAAACACACCTCCAGGCTGTGTAAGGGCTATTTGACCAAGGAGAGTGATGGAGTGCTGCATCACCCGACCTCAACCCAATTGAGATGGTTTCGGATGAGTTGGACCGCAGAGTGAAGGAAAAGCAGCCAACAAGTGCTCAGCATTTGTGGGAACTCCTTCAAGACTTTTGGAAAAGCATTCCTCATGATGCTGGTTGAGAGAATGCCAAGAGTGTGCAAACCGGTTAAGGCAAAGGGTGGCTACTTTGAAGAATCTCAAATATAAAATATATTTTGATTTGTTTAACACTTTTTTGGTTACTACATGATTCCATATGTGTTATTTCATAGTGATGTCTTCACTATTATTCTACAATGTAGAAAATAGTAAAAATAAAGAAAAACCCTGGAATGAGTAAGTGTGTCCAAACTTTTGACTGGTACTGTACTTGCACTTTGGTGTCACCTCCCCCCACCACTACACACACACGGCGCAGTCGAGCGGATCAAATCCATGATGCATTGTGGGTCAATTGTGACTGACTGATCTACAAATAATGAGTAGTTATTTATTATGCAAGGTGATTTGTAGATCAGTCAGTCTTGACTTGCCTGCAAAGTCAGCTGCAATGTCTAACAAGCCCATAATCTTGTTTTGATTTCTTTCCTTTGTTAGTGGATGCTGAAGAACCCAAATCTGGTATCTGTCGTCTCCTTGGCTGGTTCTGTGGCGTCAGCGGCTCTCAGGTCCCAGAGCTCACAGAGGAGGAGGTTACTGAGGCGTCCAAAGAGCTGCCTGACATCAGTGAGGAGCCCTTCTGGAAGCATGTTGTTGATGCTAATGCCCTGGTTATGATGGCCGTGGCAGTCTTCCTGGGGGGTTACTATGCATGAGGGGGCTAGTAAAACGAGAATGTGACCATTGCTAATTGCACTTTCGGTCATTCTTACTAGATTCTGAATTAAACCAAAAGTGTATGTCATTCGATGTACAAACATCTATTCATGAAAAATAAAGTTGTCCTGTGTAGCCCTTTTACTTGTCGCTTTCTAGTAATATCATCATTATGAAATTGGTTATGATAAACAATAATCCACACTCCTTTGCTAAACCTTTACCTTAACATACACATCTCTCCCCTCTAGTGGCCATACAATGCCATTGCATATATCAAGCGTCACCATCTTGCATCAACTTGAGTCATGTGGAGGACAAATGGTTTCAAATCTATAAATAAGCAAAAGTAAATCAATATCACCAACATTGCAATATTATCAATAGATTTTCAATTAGGACTACACTGTAGCAACTTCTCTAAATACAGTGAGGGGAAAAAAGTATTTGATCCCCTGCTGATTTTGTACGTTTGCCCACTGACAAAGACATGATCAGTCTATAATTTTAATGGTAGGTTTATTTGAACAGTGAGAGACAGAATAACAACAAAAAAATCCAGAAAAACACATGTCAAAAGTGTTATAAATTGATTTGCATTTTAATGAGGGAAATAAGTATATGACCCCTCTGCAAAATATGACAGTACTTGGTGGCAAAACCCTTGTTGGCAATCACAGAGGTCAGACGTTTCTTGTAGTTGGCCACCAGGTTTGCACACATCTCAGGAGGGATTTTGTCTCACTCCTCTTTGCAGAACTTCTTCAAGTCATTAAACTCAAACGTTCAGCACCCTCCACAGATTTTCTATGGGATTAAGGTCTGGAGACTGGCTAGGCCACTCCAGGACCTTAATGTGCTTATTCTTGAGCCACTTCTTTGTTGCCTTGGCCGTGTGTTTTGGGTCATTGTCATGCTGGAATACCCATCCACGACCCATTTTCAATGCCCTGGCTGAGGGAAGGAGGTTCTCACCCAGGATTTGACGGTACATGGCCCCGTCCATCCTCCCTTTGATGCGGTGAAGTTGTCCTGTCCCCTTAGCAGAAAAACACCCCCAAAGCATAATGTTTCCACCTCCATGTTTGACGGTGGGGGTGGTGTTCTTGGGGTCATAGGCAGCATTCCTCCTCCAAACACGGCGAGTTGAGTTGATGCCAAAGAGCTCGATTTTGGTCTCATCTGACCACAACATTTTCACCCAGTTCTCCTCTGAATCATTCAGATGTTCATTGGCAAACTTCAGACGGGCATGTATATGTGCTTTCTTGAGCAGGGGGACCTTGCGGGCGCTGCAGGATTTCAGTCCTTTACGGCGTAGTGTGTTAACAATTGTTTTCTTGGTGACTATGGTCCCAGCTGCCTTGAGATCATTGACAAGATCCTCCCGTGTAGTTCTGGGCTGATTCCTCACCGTTCTCATGATCATTGCAACTCCACGAGGTGAGATCTTGCATGGAGCCCCAGGCCGAGGGAGATTGACAGTTATTTTGTGTTTCTTCCATTTGAGAATAATCACACCAACTGTTGTCACCTTCTCACCAAGCTGCTTGGCGATGGTCTTGTAGCCCATTCCAGCCTTGTGTAGGTCTACAATCTTGTCCCTGACATCCTTGGAGAGCTCTTTGGTCTTGGCCATGGTGGAGAGTTTGGAATCTGATTGATTGATTGATTGATTCTGTGGACAGGTGTCTTTTATACAGGTAACAAACTGAGATTAGGAGCACTCCCTTTAAGAGTGTGCTTCTAATCTCAGCTCGTTACCTGTATAAAAGACACATGGGAGCCAGAAATCTTTCTGATTGAGAGGGGGTCAAATACTTATTTCCCTCATTAAAATGCAAATCAATTTATAACATTTTTGACATGCATTTTTCTGGATTTTTTTGTTGTTATTCTGTCTCTCACTGTTCAAATAAACCTACCATTAAAATTATAGACTGATCATTTCTTTGTCAGTGGGAAAACGTACAAAATCAGCAGGGGATCAAATACTTTTTTCCCCTCACTGTAAGCAGAAGATACCTACACAAGTCATTATGCAGAAACAAACGTGTTAGGGGGCATATATTCCAGTTTTAATAGTTTCTGTTTATTTGAGAAGCACATATTCCCATTAGCATTGTACAACTGAAACCTACAGTGGTCTCCCCTACCCAGTCAGATGGGTCAAGTGAACAGAGTTCGCTATACTGTATTTGTCAAGGTCTTGCAGATTTAGGGAGTGTGAGAGGGACCAATGGGGTTAAGGCTGTAGAGAGTTCTATGGTCCGTGTTTCTTTTCACCCACATTGAAGCAAACGACGGCTTTGGCAAAGACTGCCCTCTGCCGACTAGCAGGGAGTTTGGACTGGGGGTTAGTGGGGAGGGAGGGGCTAAAAAATAAAGAGTTGAAGGGAGGGGGAACAGTCCTCAAAAAACAGGAAAGAACAGCAAACATTCGCTCACACAAAAATGATAACAAGCAGTCAAAACCTTTGTACAAAGTGACATCAGGCCTTTGCAAAGTGACATCAAATTGCCTTCTCCTGCCCCCACACCACTGTTAGTCTCATTCATTAAAGGCCCAGTGCAGTCAAAAACGTGATTTTCCTGTGTTTTATATACATTTTCACACTATGAGGTTGGAATTATACTGTGAAATTGTGAAAATGCGAGATAATGCCCTTTTAGTGTAAGAGCTGTTTGAAAACACCGCCTGAAATTTCAGCCCGTTTTGGTGGGATGAATTTTTGGCCTGCCTGGTGACATTACCAGGTAGTACATTAGTTAATAGATCAATAAGAAAGAGGGTTCCAAACCTCTCTACCAATAACAGCTAGTTTTCAGTTTTCCCCTCCCCAATCAGACCAGTCCCAGACAGTCCTAGCAAAAATTGTTGCTTGAGAAATTGCTCTTTGCTAAGATGCCATTTTTGTTTATTTTTTACCATTTTAATTGAACACAATCACAGTAAGGTACTTAATAGTTAACACAGAAATGATTTGATAGTGAGATAAAAACAGCTGCAATGGACCTTTAAACTTTCACAGACTCCCTCTGTGAGCCAGCCAGTCAGTCAGTCCTCAGTGGCTGGCCCTCTGGTCAGTAAGGTTGGGGTCAGCTCTAGCACTGACAGCATGGCTAGGATGCGACTGTCAGTTGACCAATAGGCAGAAACGTTGAGCATCAGGCCCCATGCAGCACACGGAGCACCATACCATACCACCAGTATGGGCCCACTCATCATGAGTTCAGTTTTCACATGTACTATCAACCGAGTAGGGAGCTAGTCAACTGCTAAGAACTCAAAACAAGGTGATAGCGAGCAGGAGAGAGAGCTGACAACACAGGAGAGGACCCCAACCCTGGTCTTTAGTGTGCCACCAGGGGACAACCCTGTTCTTTACTGTGCCACCAGGGGGCAGTGGGGTCTAGAGGGAGTAAGAGGGGTGCTGGGACCTGGGGAGGGCCCCTTTACCTCCCGTCCTCCCTCTTAGCGCGGGTCTGCACCAGCTCACAGGGCTGCAGTACCCAGTTGTTGTCATGCAGCCCCACGCGGCAGCCCGGTGTGTCCTTGTCCGTGCGCCGGCAGCACATCCAATAGGAGCGTCCATAAGGCAGGTCGTGGTGGTAAGGTTTGGGGTGCCAGCGGCAGAGCGACACGTCACCCCGCTCATACTGCCGCTTGCACTGCTTGCAGGGGTCGTCGCGGTACAGCGGGTCCTGGTTCCAGCGTGAGTCGGTGGCGGCCACACCGTACGTCTCAATCAGAACCTTGAAGTCGTAGCAGGTGCACTTGAGGGCGGCCAGCGAGCGGGTGGGCAGGTAGCTGAAGATGTTGACCATGATGTGGTCGGGCAGCAGCAGCATGTACTGACGAGGCTCCAGCAGCCGCTGGATCTGGAAGCGGATCTCCAGGAAGTCGTGAGAGACATGGCGGTAGAGACGGCACAGGGAGGGGTCAGAGCAGTCCTCCACGCCGGCCAGGGGGGTGTCCGGCCGGTCAGCAGCATCCCCAGCAGGACCGTTGTTATTGGCGCAGTCCAAAGAGCACATTCCACAGCTGCTGCCGGTGCCACTGTCCTCGTCAGACCCTCTCTGGGGCTGCAGGAAGAACAGCTGGCCTGGAGGGGGGTCCTCTGAGCCGTCGGCCCCACTGGGCATGGCGAAACACACCGTCTCCTCTTGCACATTCTCTGTGCTGTCCTTGCCATAGAACACACACTGGTCTACAGCACCCGTGACCACCACCTCCACGTGGAAGCCAGTCACCCTCTCCCGGGCCACAGGCACCTTCTCCCCAGAGCCAAGCTCCTGGCTGTGGTCAGGGCTGCTGGAGGCTGGCCGGTCCGTATGGCCCTCCCCATGGAGGTCAGCTTTTGGAGAGCCGGCCAGCAGGAGGCTGGGGTCCCGTGACGAGGGGCTGACCAGCTGGTAGAGATCACAGGTGATCTTCTCTTTGGCCCGGGCCCCCGCCTGGCCCCCTCCTCCCCCACAGCTCATGAACATGCAGCGGGGCCGGCCTGCGGGCTCTGACTGCGAGCGAGGATCCAGGCTGGACACCCGGAAGGCAATCCTCACTTCGCCTCGGCCGTGTGTGGGCCCAGCGCTGCCAGAGTCCCCGACCCGCTCCCTCTCCCTGGGGGAGTCCAGGCCCGACGCGGGCCTCAGTGTGTTCTCCAGGAGCTGATGCTGGGACTCAAAATGGGCTACGGCCTGAGCCACACGCCGCGACTCCTCCTCCTCCTCCTCCTCCTCCTCCTCCTCCTCCTCCTCCAGGGCACCGTGCGGGGGGTCAGGGCTCTCTGATAGGAACACCATGGGGCTGGGGTCGGAGACTGTGCCCCGCAGTAGTGTGTGCTCGGGGTGTTCTGGGGCAGTCTGTCCCTGGGCCACCATGCCCTGCAGGGCCATGGCTGTACGCTGCTCCACCAGGGCCACCATCTCAGCCACGGACAGCAGGTCAGTCTCGCTCACGCCGGGGATGTCCTCTGGGGTGGAGGCTTCTGGGGGCGGG